TAGTGAATTTCTCTTTTACCTAAGACCATAAATATAACTCTATCTGACCTATCATTAATTAACATAAAGGGTCGCATGTTTTAGGTTATTTTATTAATTGAAAAAGCATACCGTATCTAACATTGTTTCAAGATTCAGTAGAAATCTGTATTTATTTATTAGTAGTTAGGAATTTAGCGCTATTACGGTAATACGATCCTGTAACTTACAGGTTTAAAAATTTGCTTACATTACAGCGTTTACTATTAGCTTTAGGGTTGACTTAGGATCGAGTAAATATGCTACCGTAATCTTATTTATATTAATTATGCCATGTTTATATATATGACTTAAATCTTTAAATATTACAAGATTGCACTCGTGAAACACAAAAATATTACATTAAGGAACGTAGTATTACTGTTATAACAAGATCCATTAATTTTAGAGATTGCAAGGATTATAAAGTTATGAAAGTAGTTAAGGGACCATAAGTTTCTAACCGCATAGGGCATTAAATATGTTTCCTTTTATGGTACCACATTAGCATAGCAATAGACTAAGTAAGACCATAAATTTTCCGTATTCAATGCCATAATTGATTTGTATATCTTCATATTGTGAAATCAAAGAAAGATTTTTCGAGTATGATTTTTTACTTAGAATCATCATATACCGTAGCTCGAGAGCTAAACGAGAAAAAACCAAAAAGGAAAATAAGTTTACAAATGTAAGAAAGAACTTATTTTCTCGAGTAAACGTATATGCCCAAATCGCGATATAAATTGCTGAATTGTTTAATTCAATATCGGACAGATGCACCAAGATATAAGTGACGGTAAATTAACAAAATCTCTACTAGCAAAATGTATAGATTTCGATAGCGCTATTATCTCACTCTGACCATCAAACAATATTCGTTAGATATTGATGGACCCATGCCATGGAATTTTATAGGTATAGAGATATTTTAGCAGTATAGGGATAGTTCTAAATTTGTAACGAATAGATACACAAGTTATAGCTGGTAGTGTAGAAATATGTTAGATCGATTAAATGATCCATGCTTTCTACAATAATCATGAATTACTTTGCACATTTGCAAATACAGCGAATCATGATTTGTATGGCGTATCAGGATTACAGCGATCAAAAACTAATATTGGCCAAACATCTAAATTATTTTCATATTATCAAATTTCTAACCTAAAAAATTTTTGATTGCTAATAGAAAAATAGCAAATAGATAAATAAACATTTCTAAAATATTGAAGATAGAAAATCGATTAAAACATGAAATATTAAATCATCTTAATAACTGTATTTAGGAGTATAAAATCAAATATTGGTAATACGAAGTATAGTAAATGAAAAACATACAATGACAACTTTTCCATGGTTTGATTCATATATGAATTAGAAAATAAAAAGAGCTTCATTTATATTATTGATGAATACTGATCTACATATTCTAGAAGATCAAAAGATTGTTGTTACCGTAGCGGTAAAAATTATTATTATATAATGAACATGCATTACCGGACGCTGATCAGATCAACTAGATAGGAAATAATGAAAATTTATTTAGGATTTCCAGAAGCTACTAGCTAATTTATTAATTTGCTTCGGTAACCTAATAGAAAGCCTTATACAGGCGATAAAAGAATATTGTTTTGCTTTAATAGACAAATGCAGTAAAAATATGTTACGGTCAATATGTGTTTCCCCACAATAGCTGTATACAGTATCTCCAATATTTCAATTATTTACTAGCATGGCATACATCTATGGAAGAGTCTGCAAATTATTGGGTTTTGCCAACATGCTGCCAATGTTTTAGCGGCCAATTACAGTAGTTAAACTTGCTGTCATGGCGACGGTCTATTCTTTTGCTACTTAGTGCTCGTATCATTGTTTTATCTGGAATATAACTCTAAGGACCTGTCATAAGAAGATTCATAATAATAAAATGCTGCTAGTCAGATATACCCGTCAAGACGGCTGCGAACTGTGCCGTTGTAGCCATTTTCTCAATACAATAACTACAAATTATTAGTACCTTCCTTAATGATACCATCAGGACGATAACCAGACAACTACTGTAAACATTATATTTTTGTCAACAATACGCATGTTAATTGAAATATCTTTGATACTGGCATATCGTGCTGAAGCCCTAATTTAGTATAAAATCATAATTTGTCGTTCTCGAAAGGCAACACAATGATTTTGGCTTATTTTAGCCATATTATCAAGCTAATATCTCCAATATTAGAGTATCGATAATTTTATGATATAGTCATGAAAATGATTGAATTATAATAGCCCAAGCTTTTAATGATTGGGAATCATACTCCATTGCATCCTTCAAACCGTTCGTTTATGTCACCGTGTCTGCATATTGTTTTATATTTAGTAAGTTTCGGGCCATTACTATAAATTATGGCACTGCACAGATGAAAATTGAACCGACTTTTATAGATTTTAGCGTAGATCTATTGCTAGTTATGATTGCGCCTATCAAAAAGCCTATAAATGGTTATGCTGTGGTCATGAAATCGTTACATCTTAGAGTAGATTAAAGAATTGGTATCAGCTTTATTATAGATCTGAGGTGTAAAGGCATCGCAGGATCGAATAAAACTTTACTAAAAAAAATAAAGTAGATTAGAGCAATGTTAGCAGTTATAAGTTTCAAAGCCTGCTCTCAGTTATTAATATTACGGAGCCTATCGCTAATAAAGTATCACCTATACGTCTAAATAATTCATTAAGGAAGTAGATTGATACACACCCATATATATCAGAAAGATCAATTGATTGTAAGTCTACATCAAACTTTAAACTTGTGTCGTACCATAACAGGGTTAAGGCTACTGAAGATCTATCTGTCAGTATCCACAGAGCTTTTTTATTTCATAGGCAAGATCTAATGATATATTTAGTAATTCGAAGGTGATTCGTAAAAAACGTTCCTGCACGATTCCCAAAATTGTTGGAGACTGCTAGAAACCACGGTAGTTTCTTTTTTCTTTCTTGGTGTAGCGATACAGGTTAAAGTTATTCTGAAAAGTTAGGTGCCTTGATCCCCTGAAGTACGTTGAATTATTTGATAAGAAAGAATGACATTGCGCAATGATATGGCTAAAATATGTCTGCATAAATTTAAAATTCTTATTTTCCATTACTGATATTCATCTGATAAAGAACTTGTATATCATCCTATTTTAAATTCTGAGGATTTAAATTTAGCTATTCAGTTGTAAATATAGACTCAGCATTTGATCTATTTATGATTTAAATCAGCTGTTGGGTTTCCATTTTTGTGAAAGTTTAATAATCTTTTTCAAACTGTATTTGCTTATGTAAGCAGAGATATTCAAAACTGTAAATAGCTTCGGATAAATAACATGAATTATAAATTTCCAATAATAGCTATAGATAGTCTTGATTTATGTGCATACATTATGATTAATCCTCTATCTGATGTTATATCCGCTAAGCAAATGATCTATGGTAGATTGCCTCCATTTTGTATTGCAGTCCATTGTAGTCAATAATAGTTTTGAGTAACTATTTTTTTCTATTTCAACTGATGAAGACATTTTAGTTATTATTTTATTCATATGATAAAAAGTCCAAAATTAGGCTTTCCTGCGAAATCTTAATCAAATTAGCAAGATTCTACTTAATTTAGACTAATAGATCATTGCTAGCTCTTTAATCGATATCAAAATTAATTAACCTCCATTTTTGTAAACCCAAAATTACTTTATTTTTGTAGGCTCTATTAGGACAAAAATATGGCTATTCTCCATTACCAAACCAGATATCGGGCTTCTGCTTTAGATTAATACGTGAATGTTTAATAAATAATGATAAACCAGTAGAATCATTAGATCAATGGTTTAAAGAAGATACAAATGCAGTTCCATCGGTTTACGTTTTGCAATCTATATCATCTTGCTTAAAAAATTACAATAATTTGGAAGCAAAAGTAGAATTACAAGCTGAAGATGCGACTACCTGGTTGGAAATATGTCGGAAGCTTCAGAAGTTGTTATGGTTTGCAGTTGATCGACTAATAGCAACCGAAAAAATAACTCCTGAAGATGGACTTAAATTGAAAATATCAAGTAAGATTAACATTTTCTTGCTATTCCGCTATTTTATATAATAATTAAGAGCTATGATGATTAGACTATGATATTTAGAGCTACTCGTTCCCCGAATAATATTCAGAGTTACTATCATCAATAGATGATATTTAGAAAGTATGATGAGTTAGATCATCTTTCAGCTCCTTTAACATTGTTAGCTTTACATACGTTCCTATAAACATGCACATTTTTTCGCAATAATATGTATAATTAGGACTAGATCAAGAGATTACTTGTGGGATTCTTGATGCAGATAAAGAGTTCATCAATGAAAATTGCCTAGGAATGATTAGGACATTTGCTAATGTAGAGTCTATTTCTAATGACGATGCTATTATGGCTTATTTCGATATCGACAAAGAAAAGCAAGAAATTGATGAAAGAGCTAATCAGTTACTTTGCAAGTTACGTGATGATAAGCTACTTGAAAAGCTAGATCAACAACAAATATCACAATTTACGATCGATTGGCAAGCAGATGGTATCAATCCAGAACAGTATCAGCAACACTTTGATTATATACAGCAGTTTTGCTTGAAATTTTATAAAAGTATAAAAGGCATGATTGATAAAACGATGATGAACATTGGCGATCATGTCATTGATAGTAATCCATTATATCAAGAAATTTTGCATCATTTACATTTCTGTCTAAAACAAACACGTACATTTTATGGCCGACAGAAAGAATTAGCTACTGTTCAAGATTATCTTCACCAAGTCTTAACGAAGCCATCGCCGTCATTACCGAAAAATAGGAGCAGCCCATTGGTTATTCTGGGTCCTGCTGGCTCTGGCAAGACAGCGCTAATTGCAAAATGTTTCGAATGGTCCAGTAAAAATGTAACTGCAGCTGATATTATAGTACGATTTTTAGGACGCACCGTGGATAGCTTAACTGTATGCAAAACATTGACATCATTGTGCCAACAAATTGGCCAATTATATGACCAATCACCGGATGATATACCTAAGCACAATGCAAAATTAGTCATCTATTTTCTCCGTCTATTAACCTTTGCCAATCGTCGTAAGCCATTAATTATACTGCTAGATGGACTTGATGAATTACCTTTTAACGAAACAGATGATCATCATTTATCCTGGCTACCGAAACAACTACCACCTTATGTGGCTATGATAATCTCTGTTCAGGATGATGCCAATCATCATCAACAATTAAAAGCGATAAAGAATGCATTTCCTATTAATTCTTTTTATATTGAATTACAGCCTTTAGCTATAGATACAGCTTTACAAATTGTTGATGATTGGCTATACGTTAAATCCAGGACGTTAACATCTCAACAGCGACAACTAATTTCCAGTGCTATTCTACGATGTAGCTTGCCTTTATTTATTAAATTAATTTTTAATCAAGCCATCCAGTGGCATTCTTATGACTCCATTTCTCAAGCTGATTTGCCCTTTGATACTGCATCAGCGATTCATAAATTATTTGATCGTCTCGAAATGATACATGGTAAAGCGTTATTTTCTCGTACAGCTATTTACATTACCTCAACACGATATGGCTTAACTGAAAATGAAATACAAGACCTATTATCGTGTGATCACCAAGTTATGGAGGAGATCCATCGATATCAGCCTGATCAAGCTATTATAGCTGTTCCAGCATTGCTTTGGCTACGTTTAAAACATGATTTAAATGACTATGTTCTTGAACATGAAATTAACGGTTTAACAGTAATGCGTTGGTACCATCAACAATTTATTGAAGTTGTTAGGCAGCGTTATCTAAGTAATGACCAAATACAGGAAGAAATCCACAGTCAATGTGCTAATTACTATATTGGTAAAGGATTAATGAGCTTAACTAAAGGATCATACTATAGTATCGCAGATTATAATCAACATCATCAGCATTCTATTCTGTCACAGGATGCTAACGATGATTGCAGCTCTCAAAATCGCGGTATTAATAGTGATCGCTTACAACTACAACCTATGATTTATCATGTTCAAACCGAGTCCAAACAAAATCGCAAAATACGCTATAATTTACGCAAATTAAATGAATTACCATATCATTTAATTCATAGTAATCGACTTAGTGAAGTTAAAGAAAGGCTATTTTGCTTTTATCCATGGTTAATTACTAAATTACAGGCATTATCTTTACCCGCAGTATTAGGTGATTTTGAATTATTACTTAGTAAAACACACGATATTGAAATTAAAATAATTTATGATGCTATGCGATTATCCTATCAGACGCTTGATCAAGATGCATTTAGTTTGGCAGCTGAATTAATTGGTCAATTGTCAACATTAGCTAGTAATGAATATCAATATTTGCAATTATTGATTGAATCGGCAGAAGAGATTGGAGCTCAACACTCACCCCTCTTACCAGTAACATCTTGCTTATTTCCACCTGGTGGTGTCCTACGTTATACATTACATGATTGTAAAGGTGAAATATTATGCTTAGAAACAACATCGAATTTTCAGTATATTCTAGCTGGATCAACTGATCATCTAGTGCGTGTTTGGAATGTAACCACTGGTGAGCTTATCCATACGTTAGACAAGCATACCAGTGCAGTACACGGTGTTCATGTTACTTCTGATTGTCGAATTATCCTCTCCTATACCTATAATATTGATGTAATTGCTAATCATGAAGTCTTAGCTTGGAATTTACAAACTGGCGAGTATCTATATAATTTACGTGGACATAGTGGTGGACCGTGCCCGATCATATCAACATATGATTCACATTTTGCTCTCTCTGGATGTCATAATAATTTAAAATTACAAGCATGGCTTGATCATGTTCAATTAGGTCAAGATATAACTAATCGTCAAATTGATGACGATAATGATATTATGGAATATTTGTTCGATTATGATGATGCTGAGTTTTATGCATTTCATATTATATTATGGAACCTAGATGATGGCCGTATTAACAATATATTAGAAGGTCATACTGGTGAAATATTGCAAGTTTGTGTAACTAGTAATGATCGTTATATTTTATCATGCTCACGAGATCAAACAACACGAATTTGGGATTTAGCTACAAAGCAAAGCATACGAGTTATACGTGAACCAAAATGCCATGATTATATGCTTCATTTAGCAGTTACACAAGATAGTCGATTTGCAGTTATTCATGGGCGCCATTTAGGTGTATATTGTATTGATGATGGTCAACAAATCTATCAATTACAGGAAGATAATTGCTATCCCGATGTGACAAATATCAAAATCAGTAATGATGATCAAAATGTTATTGTCAGTTACAGTGATAATTGTGCTGAAATATGGAATATTATGACCGGCGAATTAATATGCCATTTCCAAGATAAAACAACATCACAAGAATTCAATGCGTGCCATGTTAGCGGTGCCGATATAACCTTAGGCAATCATTTAGTTGTGGCATCAGGTTATAATGTACCTAAAATTGTCGATTTTGAAAATGGCAGAATCGTTGGTCAATTAAATAGTCATACCAGTAAGGTCAATCAATTAATTGTTTCGACAGATAATCAGGAACCGATAGCTTTTACAGCATCCGATGATCGTACTATTAAAACATGGAATCTTTCTAATCTTGATATTCCAAAATTAGAATTGCCGCGACATAAGAAAGATATTACTTTTATCACTATATGCAAAGAGAAAAATTATTATGTTTCAGGGTCGATAGACAATACCTTGAAAAAATGGGATTTAGAGACGGGTGAATTATTAGAAACATTAACTATATCATCGGGTTTCTTATATTCAGTCCATATTATGCCACATGGTCAAGTGGGTCATTGCTTTCCATTAGATACTGCTACTCGCGTTAAAATTGACATGGTGAATTTTCTTGTCCTAGAAACTCATAGTCTTGATTCTATGGCTCTAATTGGAGCGCATATGACAACTTCAGGGGAATATCTGGTAGGGATTACCATCAAGAATGATATAATTACATGGCAAATTAAGCATTTTCAGCAAAAAGCTAAATTTGCATTGAATGCCATGATTAAACATCTCGCATTAGTTAAATCAAGATATATCTTAACTGTTGATAATAGTGAAGCTGAGGGTAAACGAATTTTTGATGCTAAAATTATCCATGTTTGGGACTTAAAGACGTTAAAACCTGTAGATCGTCTAATTGGACATACGCGTACTATTACCTGTATGATCAAGACACGAAATGAACGATATTTATTAACAGGAAGCAGTGATACAACAGTTATCATTTGGGATATGGAAACGCGAAAAATACATGGTAAAATGGCTGCACATCAGAGCAGTATCAAATCGATAGCAGTAGCAATAACTGAGAATAAATTAATTGCTGCCAGTGGTAGTGATCGTGGTGTTGTTTGTTTATGGGACTTCCATCAACCTAATTGCAAAGTCATGCATCAATTGGAAGGACATCAATCATCGGTAGAAGGTTTAACCTTTGCCCTAGATGATAATTATTTGATTTCCATGTCAACTAAAGAGAGTGTCTTAAAGATATGGCATACTAAGAGAGGCTATCTCATTGCCAACTATTATTTGCATGCAAATCCAACTAATTTTACTGAATGCGCTAAAAAAAACATCATCATTATTGGTCTGGAGGATGGTCGAGTCATGAGATTAAAAGTTAATCGATTAACTGATGAATATCTTAAGTTTGACGATGATCAAGCTACGGTATGTACCTGTTTGTAATATGTTTTTTTTCACAAATACTAATTGTATCTTTGAAAGCAATGAATTAATTCGAACACTATTATTTTCTTTACCTTAATTTGCTATATTAATTCAGATAATATGATTAGCTATCTATGTCTTACATGCTTCTGGAATCGAATTTTTACTGTGTATTAATGGTGGTATTAGCATTTACATTGTCGTTGACGCCAATTTATCTGCTTAAGTTAATCATTTATATTTTATTTTAAAGCTTACTAATACAATTATGAAGTTAGTCTGCTATAGAGTGTATATGTATCGTAGATCAGATGATGTCAAATTTTTATCTGATAGCATTGTATAGAAAACGAGAGATGGATTTCCTTTACTTGAACTTTGAGTTAAACTGACAGTGTTTTTCTCGTTTCATTAGGCGGTAAAAGATCTTCATATCAGCGCCATACCTGAAAATGGTGCAGACGTAGATCGTAATAGTCTGGCTAGAGAACAGAATGTAAGCTAAAAGTTTTTCAGATGAAATTCGCAATCTTTTAATTGGTTTTAAGATTAATTTAATGAGATGAAATCAATTTTATTTTATTGGATTATCATTAGTTCAATGAGGAAACTCCTCCATTGGTTAATGGTCACTCAACAACGGAGGAAATTGACAGTTCTGAAGTTGTTAGTCGTAAAAGTGATGATATAAAGGTATACAAAGCAACTTTAATGTAACTCGTAAGGCATTTTTAGTAAACTTGGTAATGATAATGATTATTTTAATTGCTATTTAAATCACTTAAGAGAAGAGACAGTCAAGCTAAAGAATTTAATAGAGATGTAAGTTAAATATAGGCTAAACGGAATTTGAAGTACAGCAAGCCTTTTCGCGAATATAATTTGATTTAGCGATATTTTAAACAATTTTAGTCAATCTTAATGCTTAAAAGTCAAATTTTGTAGCTGAAAAGGATGCACGTATCAATTGAATGTTAGTTGTAACGTTGCTTTCAATCATTTTTAAAACTGAATTAGGAGAAAATGCGTCGATTAAGCGCTCAGATGTCTGATTTATTTAATACTGAAAGCGTTTCAGAAAATCAAGACGTAAGTCCAACATTGATTAGATTAATAGTATCAAGATCAGTTCAATTAATCTATTTTAGAAAGTGATCTTGGAATAAGCTATTAATATTAAGCATATTAAATGTTCAATGAGTTCCGGGAAAAATAGGATACGAGCATAATCTCTTTTACTAGTAATCGAATAGCTGATATTAGATGGGAGATGGGGTGATAAATTGTATTCGTATAGTTATAGTCAATAACTTCATCGATCTTTTTCCATTAGAATTAAAGTTAACTAATTTAGATCATTTAGTATTGAGTGAAGAATTGAAAACATCGTCAGTGATGATAAAATTAATAAGAAAGGTTTTAGCCGATAAGATGTTCAGATTTACTATTCTCTTGTTTATATAGGTTATATCTCTGCGGCGAAATAGTGGTACCAGCGGAAGAGAAAATCTAGCTCCTGCCGGAATGAGAATAAGCCACGATCATGGTCAAGATCAGCATAAATTTTTAGCTAAGCTAGAAGCTGCAAAAACTTCCGTCAATTCCCCACTTCCAGCTTCGAATGCAAACCAATTGGATGCTAATGGTGCAAATACCGGCGATGTTGTACAGGCAGAAACATTAACTATTCCTCAAGTAGATGGTCATAATGGTGTTATCACCGAAGAACATGGTTTTAATAATTTGAGTACAGCGACATCAAGTCAACAAATTTCCGAAGAGAAATTAGTACCCAATTTATCAAATCCAAATAAGGTCAGATATGAAGTTATTGGCCATCTGTTATGTGAGAATAGGCTAATTTTAACTTAAAATGAGTTGGAATTAAATGACTTTCCTTATTTTCATTTTACATTACTGTATTTGAAGAAGATTAAATATGTTATTACTTCACTGTTTTGAAAATTTTAATAATTGCGTACATATAATTAACTATAGAGTTTACATTTAAATATATTATATAGAGTTGAATAAGTTCAGTATACTAAATAGAGAAGCTTATTTGTAAAATTTGTCTCTACATATACTTTTTCGTGCAGATTTTAAGTTAGAACTACAAAGTACTTTTCAATTTTAGTAATTTATCGATGATGAAGTTTCTAATATTTCATAGTAATTGAAGCCTAAATGATATGATAGCTTCAAGTTTTAATTATTATCTATTAGGATTGCAACATATTATTCCGAGGCATTAAATCAATATTTATTTTGCAGTCTGTTTCAGAAACTGCTAAACCTAACAGCTCTGCTAGAGACAATCATTTACGTGCACCGACATCTTCATGCTGTATAATATTTTAAAAGCTATGACAGGAAAAGCTAGAGCCAAAGAAGTATATATTATTTTACCCTTCATTTTTAACAAGGCGCGTGATCGTAACATTAAAAATCTGCCGAGAGTTAATATCAAGATCATTAATTATCTAATTAACTCCTAAAAGGGTAATCTCTGGTACTTCTAAATTTAACCCATTAACCTCCTAATAAAAAATACACAACAGCATCATATGATATCAAAATGTAGAAAATGAGATGTACATGATGAAGATCATTTCTTTTTTATGTCTCTATATTATAAACTGGAATAAACTGCTACACTCACGACAGTCAAAGATTAGAACAAAATTAATCCGCAACTACGCCGTTATAAAATGTTCGAGTCTTTATTGTGGTGGTAAATATAGAATGAAGAAATATCTTTATTAACTCTTTATCATTTCTTTATGATATAAATTTGATGAAATTGCAGCAATGCAGGTTTACAGCTGGAAAATTAATGATTGCGGTTTCAGAATAGATCTTAATTGCCTTTATTTCTACTTAAACTTCAATCATAAAACCGCTAAATAACTGTATAAAACTGCATAACTGAAATCTATGATTACCACTGTTAGATGCCGGTACTATTGTTATTATTGGTAAATATCAAGGATTAAATAGAGCTAGGCACGAAAGCTATTATTGTTGCATCCCCTATATCATAATCAGGGTTAGATGTATACTTCAAGCTTATAAGAAGTATATCAATATTTCTTTCTGCGTCTTTTATGCTTGATAATTTTTAAGCATTAAGATTCAAGGTTACTTTCGTTATAACAGTAATTTTTTCATTTTCCATCTCTATTCTTACAAGTAAAGTAAATTCTATCCAGAATTCAGCAATACCAGCAGAAATATGGATACAATGATGACGTTGCCTATAATAAAATAGGACAAGATTATTAACAAGTGATCTACAATGAAGAGATCTCTAGACATCAAATCTATAGTATTTGGTGTTATTATTGATGTCGTACTTTGAAAGTTAAGACTTAGACTGGGTTTGTTATTCTTTCTTATTCTTGGTCTATTATTCCTTAAATTTACAATGAAAAGCTAGAAAATCGTCTTATTTAATCTGTAAATATAGCATTTTAAGTCTGTTTTGCCTCAATTTTAAATAATTCATAAGATATTAACAAATTGATAGGTAAAAAATATTTACCTAGAAAGTGTTCACGAATATTCCATTCATCGACTTTAAAACAAGGGATACTGGCTCATATCCTCCAATCTTACAGATTTATCATCGATCGAATTACACTAAAGCAAAAGGATGTTTTAGCAACTACTTGATTACTTCTTTTCTGCATTTTTTCATTTGTAATGATTTATACGGATATGATAGAAATTAATATATGATAATATCAAAGATTATTAGCAGCTAAATATGGCAAATTCTATTGCTGATCTAATTAATCAAATATAATTTACGATCACCAAGCAAATAGATGCTATAAGCCTTCGTCTACAATTATGATGAATATAGTTTCTAAAATTGTAGGATAGCTTTGTACTTTTTCTCTATGTATTTAAGAATTGTCTATAGGTGAGGAAAGGATTTGATTATCTACCATCTGGATTGTAAATACTTTAAATGTTGATATTAATATGGTTTAAGTTTAACTTTCAATTCACTCGACGCAATTATGAAGTTGGTGTGGAGTAAAAAATTGGTCTCCAATGTCATTCATCTACTAATGGTTGTATAACTTTGATAATTTTTATCTGAAATAACTTATTAAACATTTTACTGCTGCGATTAAATTGGTTATTAGCTGTCGTTATATAATCGGAATTAAAGCAAAAATTCTTAGTTGTAGCATCATTAGGAAAGGCAGAAGAGTAAGATATTTTGTTGTGAGAGAAGCGGGATGGCTTAGAAAATTCAGTTTATTATTTCTGAAGATAATCGTTTTAGTTAAATTTGCATTAGTTTATAAATTTCAAATTTACAGATAACTCCTTAGACTATTTAAACTAGAATTAGTATAGAACAAATTCCCTCTAGATTTAGCTTATGTAAAAAGTTAGAGAGGATAAATAAAAGAATGTGCAATTATATTGGCAGAGAATTCTGATTAGAAATTCTTGACTTTAATCTATATTTCATTACTGATTGAATTGAAATAAATCTGAAATAGAATATTCAGAAAATCATCCTTCAGCTTGGCAAATCTGGAAATAAAATGTCATCCAATGTGCGATATTGAGTAAAATCTAAAAATATCTTCCTCCATCCTGTTGATTTCGATCTAACATAAGTTCAAGCTGATTTAAAGGACAATATTGTTGTAGAATGCTCCATTAAGTGTAATGATATAATTATCGGGTATTCTAAGTGCTATACTTCTCTCACCCTTTGGGATATAGATTTCTTACAAACCCCAGCTTTTACTCCCAGCAACATAATGCGTAAATCTTAGAACTTTGAGCAGTTCATAGCTATATGTAGACTGTAATTGAAAATTCTGTGTTGGAATATGGGTAACTATATACAGGAGGGTGTTGAATCACTATTGATACTAGAGGTCAAAATAGATACGTAACTCAGATTAAGATATATTTAGTTTATAGTATGGCTACTGGTAGAAATAATATCTACTTGAATGTTGTAGCTGTTATCATATTGGATTATA